GCACTGGGAGTCTGACTGACAGCACTGTAAACCCTGGAGTGGATCAGACTGCTGCGCACTGGGAGTCTGACTGACAGCACTGTCACACCTGGAGCGGATCAGACTGCTGCGCACTGGGAGTCTGGTCTGCATGCCATTGTTTGACCCCCACAGGAGGAGACAGAGCTCTGGTCCCGCAGAGCCCCAGTACAGTTAGTCTCACTGTGCAGAGGGGTCCCCATTGTCCTCAGTAACAGTGGAGTTTTTCTGCGGTTGTAGTGTGAGACACCTGTTCTGCCCCCTGTCAGTGCCCCCCAGCCCCTCAGCGTACAGCGGGGCGCAGGGCAGGTCCTGGGGGCGACCCAGCGGGGTTGGGGTCACTGCAGGCACCAGCCTCCACAGGCACCCCCTGCTGAAAACACCCAAGATCACTTCACACCCCTGCAGAATACAAAAATATAGAGATCCTGATGTGTGTCATGGTCTCCCAGTCTGTTTCTATGTGTCCAGTTCAACAATCTGACACTATTATTATTATTATTATTATTATTATTATTCCCTTATCGATCAACAAACACACCCCAGGAACTGTGTCAGGGCTTCAGTCATTGACATTCCAAACTGAAAGGAACCTGTTTAGTCCATCTGATGCTCGTCAGTTACCATAGCAACTAATTAAATAATGAACTGATCCTACAGGATTAATTTATATACATATATTGCTTGAAAAGCCTCAGGCAGTCAGAGCAGAGTGTAACTCAGGGAGTAGAAGACACATGTTCAAGTGTTATTTGGCATGAAGATGAAGATGAAGATGATGGAGATGGTGAAGGTGTTACTCTGAGAGGCAGTGGAGAGGCAGTGGTCAGTGAGTGAGGGAGTCAGTGGGTCAGTATGTCTGTGGGTCAGTGAGTGAGGGTGTCAGTGGGTCAGTAGTGAGTGAGGGTGTCAGTGGTCAGTGAGAGACCGTGTCAGTGGGTCAGCAGGACAGTGGTGACACAGGCAGTGAGGGTTATTCTCTCGACAGCTGTGGACTCAGCTCCTAGCCCCACCATCTCCATCTGGAAAGCTTGTGAAGTTTTGGCACATTTTTTTCTGGCACTGTTTTCATAAAATTGTCTTTGTCGCCGATGGGCACCTTGATTGCCAATCCCCCCAGCAACTTCCTGTCCTCCTCTCTGCTCCTCCCCCTGGCTTCCTGTCTCTCTGACTCCTCCCCCGACCCCTCCCCTTTCTCTTACTCCCTCACCGAAACACACAGTCCCCACCGAGACCACGCCCCATTCCCTTAGCTCCTCACATCTACACCCCCTCCTGACCACTCCCCCCTTTCCAGACCCTCCCCATTCTCAGCCCACCCTGACACCTCCCCCCCCTCCCCTGCCCTTCCCTATTTCAAACATCGGGCTCCCTGAACCCCAGGTTGTCCTGCACCAGCAGGGTCTTGCACTTTTGGTCCCTGCCCACCAGGGGGCGGTGTGTCCTCCACTTATGAGCCTCCTGCAGTCCAGGTTCAAAATAGTAGATACAGGCGCCGAACCCAACAAGAACCAGCACCGAGATCAGCAGGTACAGTGGGACGAACCACTCCAGGA